AATGGTGGCTGGCACAGTGGGCACCCGGGCACAGTGGTTTGCAAAGCAGGGTCCCAGAAGAACAGCAATGGCATCCCCCGGGGACTTGTGAGAACACTAAATGCCAGGGCCTGTCCCAGAACTCCTGAATCAGACACATTCCCTCCTGCTGCAGGGAAGAAACTTGAGAGGCATGGTCTTGAAAAGAGATTGTCCAAAAGTGGCATAAGGACCATAGCATTAGAATCACCTGGCACTAGTCTCTGAGGCCCACCCTAACTGCATGCAGTATCTAGAAGTATAATATCTAGAAACCTCCATTTTTCATAGGCTCTCCCAGGCCATTCTAGGCACCTTAAGTCTGAGAACAACCCAGCGAGATGTAAAGAAGTCAAAATCCTTCCACTAAAATACAAAAGGAGGGTATGAGCCCAACAATGGATTTGCTAAAAATGGCGTGTATTGGAAGAAATCAGCCCAAGACTCTCCTTCAAACTCGGGTCAGGTTCGGAGATGACACACTGGTTAATAAGGAACAAAAGCACACTCTCTCACTGTAGCTTTCAAAAAGCCTTTGTCAGCAAAAAGAGCCATTATTTTCCAATAGATACAATAAAGCTGAAATAGAGCTAACATCATAGTGTCCCCAGATCCTTCTGTAATTAACATTAGGCTGCAAATAGCCCAAGAAATAGGCATTTTTTGTAAATTGGATATTTTTTTGTGTCCTGGAAATGGTGCTGGTGACAGCATGGCCATTTCGTCCTCTCATCAAGTGCCACCCCCTCCCTCCGCCCCATCCACCAGCAACATAATTAAAGACTCGCCTCTCCATCAAAGCGTGGCCAGAATTTGCTACAAACATTTGCCAATACTATCAAATCACTTCATGTAGGAGAAAGGGCAGCAGATGTTGAGATGGGAAAGAGAGGAAAACAAAAGGGGGAAATAGAAGGAAGATAGATCAAAATGGGAAGCCACACTCTGTATTAGTCTGAATAAAAGTCTCTCACCTCCTTTATCTTGTTGAGTGACAATAAAACTATCTGCAAGACAATTAGCAGTCCTACAATGGCTATTATAATCATGGCAACAGCCTCAAGCCCCCTCCCCTCTCTTCTGAGGTCCCTGAAAATAAAATTCCACAGAAACAGACCATTTTTATCATCAAAAACCTACACAGATTAACTGTGAGACAAATCAGATTTTCCCATCACCTTCATACATCACAGAGCCTTTTTCAAAGTATCACCCGCATTTTGCCAAATTAATCCTTTTTAGCCTTATCATTGTAAATGTATATGTCTGAGCCCCAATCTTGCAAACAGCAACAAGAAACAGATCAATCTTGCAGATATTGTAGGAAACTGCCTTCTCACAAAGACAATGCGATATTTTGGAGAAAACAATATGTTTGCAATAAGAGGACCTGGGTTTGAATAGCTTTTCTGCCATTTAATTATTCTGCTAAGGGGAACAAGTTAGTAAAATGAACCTGGGTCTCTATATTCCCATATAAAAAGGATCCCCGCAAGGGTTGTATATCAGATAATGCCCATGAAAATCTTATAAGTGTAATGGACTTTCATGCATTCCACTAGACTCTAAGTGTCCTAAGGCTGGGATGGTGTCTTTTCATCCTTTGCTCTCCAGTGCACATAATAACACATAACTTAATTAATAAGTAGATGACTGAACTAGGTGCTGTCTGATCCTGTCATGGAGATTAGAACTGCCCCCAAAGGTTGCCAGCCAAGGAGGCCCAGGACCCCAGATTCCAGAGCCAAACCTAGGATGGCAATTACCCAAAATGGAGCTCAGGTCCGAGAGTGAGTGGAAGGCTCCATGAGCTGATACCTGATCATCCTCTGGCCCAAGAGGCTACTGCAGCCCCCTCAGGTTGAGGTCAGATCCTAACAGCTAGAAATGAGCAAGCACAAGAATTCAGAAACAAGAAGAAACAGTCCAAGGGCCAGAAAGTCACCGAGGACAGGACAGAGAAGCTCGGAGCAACCTCTTTGCTCATGAACCACATAAGTAAAGTGGTTTAGGTGAGTAAAATCTGAGGTGATGGGCAGACAGTTGAGTAGTTTTGATTTAGTGTTATTTCAAGGTGTAAACACTGTGTTTGAGAGAATGTGGATGGGTTTTAAGTCAGAAAGAACCAAGGTCAAATCCAGTTCTGCAGTTTACTAGTTATGTGACTTTATACAGGTCACCTAACCCCTCAGACCCTCAACCTCCCTGTCTTCCCATAAGATTGGGATCAAGTCTTCCTCATGGTGCTTTTGTGGGGACTGAGAGAAACCAGGGGGCATGAAAGCGAGAAACGTTTTTTGACACCTGGGAAGCTCACAGTGTTAACTCCTCCTGCTGTTGTTTCTAGCTTATTCTCTTGTCCACATTTCTTATTAGCAATTTATTACCCTTGTAGTTTTTACACAGCACATACTTATTGAAAAGGGAGAATAGCTTAATTTTGTCTTGCTCTTCCTTCAATGTCTGATTTTCTTTAGCCATGCCCGTGACACAAATCTCGAGTCTAATCACTGAGGGCAACACCGGGGTGTCAGAACCCTTGCTATAGAGTCTTCTCTAAAAACAAACAACTTTCCCACACTGACTATGCCTCCATAACTTGCTCATAAAGCATAAGCTTTCTCATGAAAAGTTTTTAAACATTTTTCAAAAAAACATAAATGAATCTTTAAAATTCAGAATATGACATTTTGAGATTGGTCTTTATAAGAGGTCAATAAAAAATCATGAGTTGAAAAATACATATTTAATTACTTTATTCAATATATATTTGTTGCTGATACTGTCTTTTGGATGTTCACTTGGATGCTTAGGACCAACACTGGAACAGAAAATGCTGCCCGTCCTCGGAATGCTTATAGCTTAGTTATCAGGATGACTCCATCTACGCTGTGTAATAAACCAACCTGAAAGTCTCATTAACTTAACAAAACAGATACATTTCTGATTCATGTTCGGGTCTGGCCACTCTCCTTGGTAACGTTCCTTCAATGTAACACACAGATTCAAGTCCCTTCCATCTCCTCACACCACCTTCTTAGAGAAAGAGATGAGAACAGGTGGTCAAAATTCCACCTAATTACCTACAACACCTGCCACCACACATGGCCCACAACCCTCTTGTTGTAGTCCAATCACATGGCCACAGCTTACTGCAAGGGAGACTGAAAATGTAGATTTCCATCCTGTACACCCAACAAGAAAAATGTCACAGTGAGATTCACTGGGGACATAAAATTCCATCTGGCACTTCTATTCTTCTGCAAACTCCTCTAGACAGTAGGAGAAATGGCTACATTCCCTCCCAGCCCCTTCCAAGGAGTTCTCCAGCTAGCAAGTGGTGGCAAACATATACAGAAATAACTGATTAGAGATAGATTTGACATATAATATCTTAGTGAGCCTGAACCTGGGAAATACAGAGCTACTGACATATACAGAAAAAAAAAAAAATCAATGCCGAAAGGGATGAGCTTCTGTAAGTAAATATGAGGAAAAGAAAGGAAAGAGTTTGAGATAAGGAAATGTTCAAGAGATGGCAAGGCGCCCGGGGCAGCCAGCACATAATACATATGACACATGATAACCTTTGAAAGAAAGGAGAGAGACCAAACTGGACAGGGTTTGGGATGTCAGGACTCAGAGTTGAAATTCTCCATCTGTGCAGCAGGTAGAAGTATGGGTTTCCCCCAATATTTAGAAGCAAAGAGTTCCTATTTGGTGTGATTTGGCAAATTATTTGGGAAAGAACTGGGATACTCAAAAATTATTCCACACAAATTAATCACAACAGTGTTCCCAGACTCAAAAACCGGTAAGTACCCTCTACTTTCAGGCGGCGCAGCAGAGGTATTTGTGAAAAGAGAGGCTTCCCCATGCCTCTTCCTGACTCCATGTCCTTCGAAAGCAACTAAGTCTTGGGCACCTTCTTTTCTACTTTAGTTTGTTGTCAATGTCCCTCAATGCCACGCAGGCCGCAGAGGACTCACGTGGAAGATACGGATTTGCAGCATCGCTGTCTGAGCACATGTACAGACAGGGCCCCCCGACGATGGTAAATGCCCTCAGTCCACAGCCCAGTATGTAGGGGGTCCATGCACAAAACTGAAGAACAAGCAGCAAACAGCTAAGAGCATGTTCTGATCTAGCGCAGGACCTCACAGCATTTGTTCAGCAACAGAAGTTTGATTTATCGGCGAAGGTCCAAGAAACGGGGGTAGGGGGACATTCACCTCTCCGACTCTCACCCATCCTGTGTAGACTTCAGGATCTTCCAGAGGCTTCTGATCCCGCCTCCACCCTGGCCCAGCTCGTTCACCTGACAAACCTGGTCCCCATTCTGTCTCTTCATCCAAATATGCTGATGCCCGCAGTCACCTCGCCCAGGTTTTAAGAAGAGAAGATGGATGTAAAAGCACCTCGACAAGACTATGTCCCTTAATAATATATGAAGTGGAAAGTCCAGCCATCGAGTGGAAAGACCGAGGAGTTGAAGCAGGGCAGTAGCTAAAAGAGGAGAAAAATCTAAAGTCTTATTTTCACCAGTTTAAGGAACACATGGAGACGAGAGTCTGCGTGGCCTGGGCAGCTGATGCCAACGGGCAGCGGCCACACCAGCAGCAGAACCAATTTCAGACCCAAAGCAGCATCTGCCGTGGGCTCTGCAGTTGTGATTAGCTTCTCTTATTTAGCACCCTGAGGGATTGGCTTGAACAACACTGTAGGGCAACTTAATTAAAGAATTAGATAAACAAAGAAATGCCTCCCTCTCTGAATCACGCCAAAGTGTCATGAAAAATAAAACAATTAAGCAGAAACAAAGGCACCGATAAAGTATTCAGGCAGAACAAGTTTATACGAAAACATAATGAGGGTTCATTATTACAAATCAAAAGGCCGAGAGGCGGCACCCCGAGCTCTCCGTGGCTACTTTTATCAGACTTACCTGTCGCACAACCTGCTGACAACAGGAAAGAGCTTACCTTGCAGCACAGCTGTTCCTGCCCTGGAATTCACAGTGTTGGCCAAAGACATCGTCTCATTTCATCTTTGTGGCGATCTCTGAAGTGGGCGTTCCCTTCGTTTTACACCTGTGACCAAAAAGGCTGAGTGAGTGGTTGTGTCTTACTCAAGTTTGCACAGTGATGAAGGAGCCACCAGTGCGCCAAGCCGGACACAGGGGTCTCCCTTTATGTGCCAATTAAATTTTAAATTCGCCTGCACTTCTTGATGGGTCCTATGGAGGGAGCCCTAGTTTCCCACGCAACTGCAAGAAACACATTTTGGGAGCATCTGCTAAGGTCACAGCACTGCCAAGATGGAGGGAGACAGACAGACAGACAGACAGCCCTGCTCTGGTAGGACACACGTTTAGGAAAGGCCACTGCATTTTCTCTCCAGCACAGCCATTTTTAAAATTATGCCTAGAAATATGTGGTAGAAGAAATGAAATTAAAATGCCCTCTGAATCAGGTTCGGGGCATGGGCTGGACCCCAGAAGCTCAGTTCTTGTCTCGGTGAAGAAAGAATCCCGCGTCGAGACCAGAGTTAGACAGAAATCCATGAAGTCTGTTGTCAGACGTGGAGGACAGAGCTCTCTCAACAGAAGGGGGTCCTGTGCAGGTAGCTGCTGAGGGCCAGGAAATAGGGTCTTAGATGCTTCCTTCAAAGATGGGGGGTGGTGGTGACTCTGCGTTGTCTTTTTGATGGGCGGGGCTCCACGGTGAGTTCCTCCTGGTTGGTTTTGACTGTTCATCAGCCATGGGGGTGGGCGTCACCCTGACCACGTGACTGCTGGTTCCTGCAAGGCAATCTTGGCCAACACAGATGTTTGCTCCAGGGATGGGCAATCTGTGGAATGTCCCATTTTTCCAGGGTGTCATCAAGGCTGAGGCCCCCTGGGACCCTAACTGCCAACATTCCCAGCCTGCATCCTCCACCATCACACCCCCCCCCCACCAACACACACAAAGAGAAAGGTCATTTTGGAATTTTTACATGAGCATGAACGGCCTACCTAATAAAACACCCAAATAAAAAACACAATAGAGGAGTTTCAAGGTTACCTATGGTTCTGGCCAAGAAGGTCTTCATTTCTCTCTACTTGACCAAGCTTTAGACAGGTTTCTGCTGACTAAAGACCCCTGTCCTCCCTCTTCTTACAGCATTTACTTTAGAAAAGTTGTAATTGTATGTTTTTTTCTCTGCCCCTTCAAATGTAAATCTTCTACAACCACCAAGGTGTTTCTCAAGGACTTGGGAGAGTCTTTGCTTTGAAATGTCATCAAGAATGATCGGCCATCTCCAGGCCCAGTCTGCATGTGTGTGTGTGAGGTTGGGGGTGGAGGGCAGGGCAGAATAGAAGCCAAACTTCCCTCAAGACCATCAGCAAACCACAAGGCCCCACTTCCCTGACCAACCCCCCCACCCCTATACACACACACGCACACACACACACACACACACACACAAACACACACACACTGATCACCAGTACTTTAAAAAAAAACTACTTTGTAATTCATGGAAACATTTAATTTCATTTCTTTTATAGACAATAGACTACCTATGGCGTTGAGTACAATGATAGTTTTTCAAATGTTAGTTTTAAATATTTTATGTAAGTTTGTAACACAAACTAAACGTATGTTTGCTAACTGAAATTTTGGTCTTTTTTATTTAAATGACATTGTGTGATGATATTATGTAAGTTTCAGGTGTTCTTTGCTGAGAATGCCGGTGCTTTCCCACCAGCTCACTGCGACGTATAGAATCCCTCCCACTTTCGCCTCAGTGGAGTTGAGCTCTACCTCCCCAGGATCGTAGACTTGATCGCCATTACCTTGAGCAAAGTCTTCCTCACCTGGTTATGTGGTCTGGTGCCAGTAGGGGGCAAATATGGGCATGTGGGCTTCTGCTCTGGATGGAGCCAGATAGACTGGCAGAAGCCCTACACTAAGATGTGTACAGAAACACCAAAGCAGAGTCTAGACTCAGGAATTTGTGGGGCAAGAAGAAGTAAAAGGCAAGGAAATCCCACAACAGAAAACCTAGTACCTTTCTTTCTCTTGCTGTTAGGAGTCAGGCTACCATGACAGTTTTCTGTGGACTAAACACTCCAGCCCTACTCTCTTCTCCCTCACAGATCTCTTCTTGGGGCTCCATACTGGCCAAAGTCAACCAGAAGCAGTGGCCAGGACCCCCCTGACATCACTCACAAGTCACCCTCCTGGAACACAGAGTTGAAAGGAGAAAAGTGCAAAGGCCCAAAGGCCCAACCCAGAACCGAAGGGGACAATCCTATCTCCAACCCATTGCCTACACTCACTACAGACAACCAAAGAAGATCTGTGAAATCAAGGTACAAAAGAAAACTCCAAAGGACTGACAACATTTCAAAGCACTGCATGGAAAAACCCAGAACTTACCCACATGTCAAGGTGGATACAAACACAAGATACTTTGGACATCTCAGATAAAGAACATTAACACCTAGAGTAGAATTTACTCTCCTGAACCTCCTGAGAAGCACAACAGTGTATCACCAGGCAGAAAGTCTCTTCCTGAATTAGCAGTCACCCCAAAGAGCCCTAGTATGTTTTTTTTTCCACCCAGACATAGAGAGACCTTATTCAGCCTCTACAAATTAAAACATCAGTCGCTCCACTGCCAGAACTCCCTGCCCCGGGGTTCGGCCACTCCTCAGGCAGCCTGCTGTTGCTAGCTGAACTGACTCATCAGTCATCTCTCTCTCTCAGCCTGAACATCCCAGTCCATCTCCTTCCATCCATGGAGAGTTCTCTTTGGAAATTGGCATGCTGAGATTTGGAAAATAAACACCAGCTTTTTTGTTATGTGCCAAAGAATTATGAGTGCTGTTATTGTAGTCCCACATGACCACCATTAGTTTCCGATGACCATGCACCTCTCATTTATTAAAGACTATTTGATTTAGGATGTAATAAGGGAAAAAATGTTTTTCTACCTATGGCATCAATTATGCAGATTGGCTTTTCTGAGGGGAAAAAGTAAGGAGACATCATCAGTATTCTTTGAATTTCTAACGTAATTCACAGTTGCCATGATAGTATAACTTATTATTTGGTAGCCGAGGTTGATGAATTCTCCAAGGGCTGTCAGTAATTATTCTCAAGTATCTATTATGAGGACACCGAAAATTGCTATTACGTGCTGACTCAGGAGTGTGTGTGAGTTCCCTGCTCTCTGCCTCTTCCTTCTCTAGGCCCGACACTTCACCGTGATACATCTTTGCTCATTTACACAGGCAAGTTCTATTAGATTTCAAATTATCTAAGCACACGACTGATATTAGATTAAGACATAAAGAAAATATCGACATGATCTATTGCACACAACACCCTGTAAGAAGAAAATGTAGAAGGAAATCTCAGGATGATATAACCACCACGGGAAAAAAATAATTCAGGGCGGAACCATCTGTGGTTGCCTCTTCGTAGGCCACTATCTCAAGTTCAGTGGCTCGTGGGCACACGAGCACGGGACAGCCTGCTCTGTCAACCTGTTGAAGTCTGGATGCAAGTGAAATACAACCCAACTGGTCAAGCAAAAAGGGAGAGTGATTGTAATTCCTGGCTGAAGTCCCTGTCTCAGGAAGGGCAGAAACGTGGACGATAGCCTCAACTACAATCCCAGCACCGGAAAGGGATCTCCCTGAGTGTGGGTCTCCCATCTCATTGCCAACTTCTTTGTCTTTGAGGCTTGAGCAGGAACAAACTCATTAGTGCAGAAAGGAGACTCACCATCCCCCTCCCCCTGAGTTTTTCTTGAGCTGTTGAGCGATCAAATTAACATCAGACAAATTAGTAGAAGAAAAGGCAGATTGAATTACATGTGCATGGGGGATCTACACAGATGTGGATTCCAAAGGCAGTGCGGCTAAGTGAGGGTATGTGTCCTGAGCTGAGGAATGGAGTAGGAGCCACGGTACTAAGGAGAGAGGAGCGGACTCCTCTGATGAAGCTCTGTAAGTAGATGTTTGTCCCGCCATGGGAGTAGCTTACACCAACACAAAGGTTATGTCTGGTAAACCCTATTTCTGGGTGATTCTCACATTCTTCTAGGTAGTTAAGAGGGGAGTGAAAATTTCTCATGAAACTGGAGGCCTTTGACTTTTCCACCTTTACTGGGAATAACCCACATGCCACATGGGCCCATCTTGGGGAGGCCTGTTCTTTAGCCTGGATGACCACAGTGTGTGGTTTCAGTGAGCTCAGGACTCCACCTCAGTGGCTTTAGGGTGTCCACTGTGCAGAGTTGGGCTCTGCCTGACAACCTGTTAAGGCCACACTGACTTGGAAACAGGCAGCATCTCAAAGGAAGGGGATGCTGCTGTGGTATTACCGGGAGAAAAGCAGGAAGGACTCCTGGGTGACCAGGCAGGGAATGTCAATCCCGATTCTACCACCACAGGCCCTGAAGCCTCACCCCCCCGGAAAGAGACATGGGGTTTCTTTGAGAGTTCAGTGTGGCAAAGAGGGACCCCAAGCAGATCCAATGACCAGTTGTGAGGCCTCCACCTGCGGTCTTCAACACAAAGCATTAGCTCATATGTTTTCGTGTCCCCTTCAGTGCCAGGAGAGAACACGGAAGAATGCAGCCTCGGGGCAGAGGGCTGAAGCCTCTGGGAGGCAGGAGACCTGGAGAAGGATCACAAACCCTCTTCTCTGGAAACAAACCCAACAAACAGTCACTCAAACCAACCAACCTAATTCTCCTTTAGTTCTTCCAACTTTTTAACAAAAATTCCAAATCAATTGAGAGCCTGTATATCTCCTTACAGCCCTTTAGCAAGCAAGAGAGAGGAGCATAGGGCATTTTCATTGGAATTGTTTCTATCTGGTAGATCTCGTGCCAATTTCTGGGACTTTTCTGAAGTGATTGGCACTCATTTGTGGTTGAAATGCCGACCGTGTGTTTACAAAGTGGTGTCCCCTGGGCATGTCTCCTGAACTCCCCTCTCATTTTCAGACAAGCTAATCTGATACAATGCAAAAATTACTTAGCTTCGCGTACTATGAAGAGGAAAAAGAACGCCTTCTATGCAGCCCTC